AAATGCCTTGTGCTTTTAAAAGTGTCTTTCTGCATATGGCCACGTAGATCTAATAGAATTTAATAAAACAATTTCCAAAAGCTGGACAAGTACACAGCCTCATTCCCCATAGTTGACTCTTGTATTAACCAGTATCCTGCTCCTGTTTTGCTGCTTCGTGCACCCATTAATTATGGATCAATTATTCAATTCTTTGGGAACTCAGGTGAGCCCTGGGCTACTGAGTTGTGAAATTAAAGCAATGCCACAATGAACAGGAAAGAACATACATTTACTTCAGAGCCATCCTCCTTCTGTACTGATATTCCTGGGACAAAAGTATTTTTCTTCAGTCAATAATTAAGGCAATTGGTGTGGTTGTGCTTTTCCCCACACCCTTCAAACTCTTCCAGCATATTATTTATCAAGATCTGCTTTCTGAGTGGCAATCTTTCCCCATTTTTTAATGGCACAATCAAAATCTGAAAGCCAAATGCCTGTTCTCACTGTAGGCACAATTCACCCTGCTCTGAATGTTTCCTGAATGAAGCACAGCACAATTACCAAAAGAACAACTGCTTTACAAAGTGGATCTTGTACTTCAGTAAAATGCAGCCACCAAGGATCAGCTCAACAAATAGAGCATTAATTTTCTATTTGACATGCTGGAAAAGGTGCCAGTCCAAACAGAGCAGTGGCTTCTCAGCTTCTGGGAGCAGGAGGAGCAGCACTCTCCATCACATTGCTCATTTTGCAGTCACCCTCTTTCTTATGATTGCACTTTGATTCCTCCAATATGTAGCTGGTTAAATCAGCTTCTCTTTATCTTTGGGGAGTGAAATTTCTGGTGACAAATCTTTTGCTAGTAAAAATTGTTTGCTTTTGAAAAATGCTCTCCAGTGTAAGAATCTGAATAAATTTGAAACAATATATTTACACAAAATCGAACTATGCTAACAAATGAAGATAATGGCCTGTTTTTCATTGCCTTACCCTTTGTTCAGTCTCTACATCAATCAAGTTAATCAATTAAGCAAATTACAGGAAAGACCTAACACTTTATAGCTTTTTTTGCATGGAGAAGAAAGGGAAATTAAGCTGATATTGTTTTCAAATATCTGTTCTTCTACTAAAGTGCCAGGTCTTTATAGAGTGCTGTATTCAATGCACAGTCTCCCTGGTAATAACTGCTGTATTGTAATTTATCTTTAACAGTGCAGCAGGAAGCCAGCTCTCTGTACATAGTGAGGAACGTCTGTGCTGCTGAGAACCAACCTGCTGCTGTCAGAATTGTTTAAAGCCTCAGGACAAGGGCTGCAAACCAGTTTGGGCAAAGATTTCCTTCTGTTCCTTTAAAAAATGATTCTTCTATGCTGTGACAAAGGGTTGATCACACCACTAACCTGAGGCTGCCTTGGATATCTCAGAAAAACACTGCTGAGAACAATCATTTTTGGGACCCCAGCCTTCCTCTCTTATTAGTGAAAAAATATTGAGAGCTTCTAGTTCATTTGTGAAACCAAAGCTGGATATGGGATGATGCATAGTTGAAAAAAACAACTCCTTTACTCTAATCTTCCAGATGGACACATTTTGTTGTTTGGTTTCCAGAGAGGTCATCATGACCTCCTGGGATGGCAAAGATTGTCTTCTGTCATATGGTCTGTGAAGGTGGGAAATATATGAAATGAAAGCTTGAAGTGTTTATTTTGTATTTTTATTTTTAGGTTGCAGCATTAAAATTAGGAAGAAAACTTCAGGGTAGTCACATAGAAATGATTTTTAGATCATGTAAGTAGCCTACAACAATGGGCTGTTTAGGCTGGGCTTGTTCACTTCCATGATACTTCCAGAAGTTCTCCCTGAGCAGGAAGCAATAGCACATCCAGGAATTCAGAGAAACTTTTTGGTTGTGTGATTAACACTGAGTTACAATATAGAGAATTTTTTTCTAAATTAAAATCTTAACCTTTGAAAAAGCTGTGTTGAAAGTTAGTTTGTCAGTTTAGAAATGAAAGAGTAAAGCTTCCCTTAGTCTATTTTGAAAGCTCCAGCCTACACATATTTGCAAGTTTCTCCCAGAAAATACTGCTCAGGTGTAATAGCTGCCAGAGGATGGTGAGACAGTGCACTGCTCTGGTGTTAGTCACTCATTGACAAACTGCCTGCTTTTGCCACTAGATTTATACAGCCATTTAAAGAGAGAAAATTCAGGAGCAGCAGACTAAACCAGAGCAGCATAATGTGCTATTTCTCCACCTAATGGAAATGTCTGCTTCCGTGGTCACCCTTCTGTCTGCCCATGAAATTCTGTGCCTTGAAAGGCAGGTCTATGTTTTATATAGGACAAATCTAATTAAAAAGACTTTTCTTCTCCTTCTAAGGGAACATTTTTTGAGGTCCTTCATTGCCTGTCTATACAAGGTTCAACCCCACTCCCAAGGCCAGGCTTGTCCATCCTCATTGATGGTCCCATTGTGAGAGGGATCTCACCTTTATTCATTCTCATGGTCTGTCTGGAAGGAACACCAGTAAACTCAAGTCCATCCTCCTTCAGGTTTCAAATCCAAATCCTGAGATGAGCACAGACATCTTCAACTTACCTGTGCTGAATCATAACAATCCTATGGAGGAGTTTGCCCAAACCCACTCCCAACCAGAATCATCTTGCACAGACACAACAGGATCACTTCCAGAAGTTGGTTTGTGCAGGATCCAGGGGCTGCAGGCTTAGAAGAGGTGCATCTCTGGGCCTCAGTTCAGCAGTCCTTTTAATGGGCCCAGTCATATCAGCCTCAAAAAGCACCTTGAGCAATTTAGATAAGCCATTTAGCAAGCAGTGCTCTTAATAGACTCTGACAGCCAAACGGGGATAACACTTCTCACTGCTATAAATTAAAGGAGAGATTTCCTTTTCTCATGAGGACTTGGAATAGTGTTAGCAAACACATTTCCTGATGGCTTTTTCCTTTCTGTCTAACTTCAGAATACATCACTTTGGGGACTGTATCCACTCCTGAACTGCTCCTGTTTGCCTCCCCCTGCTGCTGCCTGCTCTGTCAGCAGTCTGGGATGCAGCCCGTGACATTTTTCGCTCCTTGTCTCAGAGGCACATGGTGCTGAGTCCTGCCCAGATGCTCCTGCAGGCCTTTCTGTGAAGTCTAAGGATAGAGCTGTTCAACTGAGTGATACTCATAGCAAGAGAGGCAGTCTTGGGAAAGAAAATCAGACTAAAAGCAGCCTTGCCTCAGATGGTGCAAACAGCTGAAGAAGAACTTGATTTCAATTTAAAGGGCACTTCTTTGCCAGTTCTGAAGTGCAGTGTGTGGTAATAAGAGATGATTATGCCACACAATAGCCTGAATATAGTAACTGAGGCATGTTGAAATTAAAGGAGATTTCTTCATATAAGGCATGATGTAATGATTTCTGTCATGCTTACAGCCATCAATGAAATTAGCAACTCATTACATACCCAAACCAGGCAAATATTTAAGGCTGCTGGTAGTACATAAGTAAGAAAACCAAAGCCAGTCTAAGGACCTAAAGACTGAGTGCATTCCCTACTTTATTTATTAGGCCAGAATAGAAGAAACTAGAAATAACCATCTACTGCTCTGAGCATCCTGTCAATTATTTCAAACGACAAACCCAAAATGCAATATGAACATCTCCCTGCTTCTAGCAAAGCACAATAGCTACTCAAATATTCCTCCCCCTCCTTTCCAACCAGAACTTTAATTCATTTCTCTTTCTCCCAGTGCCAGGTCAAGTAGATGAATATTGCAAGCACTGCTGATAGATGCAATAGCCAAGCATTCTTTTCCTCATTTTTCAATGAAAAGTAGGGATTGTTGCTGAAAATGCAATGAAAACATGTTACAGTGTCTGTTTTTAGCAGAAGGCTTGTAAATTACTAGGTTTTTGTTCCTTGTTCTGAGTTTCCTTGAGAGACTTCTTTTTCTCTTCTGTGCTTAGCTACCTGGTAATATTTTGACCTAAGAACTTCTCTGCTCTCTTCTACCTTTTAACTCACTACAGCTTGAGAGGATGAGTAGCAAGGAGAAAAGTATCTGAAAAGCTGCTGATGCTCTTGCTGTTTAACCACCACATTTTTCTCTCCTTTAATCTCACTTACAGGTTAACAGTATGTGATGCATTATCCTGAAAGAATTAACTTCTTAGCATCATTAATAATTAGTTTTACAGGTATTGCCATTATTTAGATGTAAACCAAGAAAACTGTCATTCCCAGACCCATAAGAACAGTACTCTGTTATGACAATAGCTGTGAAACCATAGATGAAAACCTGTCACCTGGAAATCTCTGGCAGGACTTCTTAGAGTGCCAGTACCTGTATTTTCAAACAAATCAAGTGCCTGAATCCCTTTGAAAAGCTCAGATCAGCCACAGGCAATGACACTGCAGCATACAGCTGGTCTGGGTGGGCCTGTGAATCTGTTTACAGATGTGACCCCACAGCACTGAGAGCAGAATTTAGCCAAGGACTGCTGAAAGAATTTAAGAGGTTCAGATGCCCATATCCATGATTCCTCCTTCCACTCCCACTACAAATGTTTCCCATTCATGCCTGATCTGACTGCCCACAACTGGTGTAAGGCTGCAGACACACATTCTCCTCTGGAGCATCTGTGCTGCTCAAAGAGGTTCTGCCCCCAGCCCACACCCATCTGTCTCCTCTCCCTCTTGCTCTGTCTCTAGTTTCTGAAGTCACCTGATTCCCTCCAAGCCTTCCAGATGTCTACCCAAATCTCACTGATATTCCAAGAAACACTGAAGGCTGGGCCACAAAGTAGAAATGAGGAAATTTTTAACTGAAAGGGAAAAACATTCTTTCCCCTTTTCTAATTAAGGAAAATACATGCATAGGAGGAGATGGGGTTTTTTCAGCCTGAAGTCCAGGATAAAAGGTAAATTTCTCATTGTCTTCACTTTGTTGCTTTCTTAAATTTTTTGTACAGCAGAAAATCCAGCATGGTGAATGTCCATTGTTTTTCAGATCTGCTCTGGGTTGTGCTGCAGGGGAATCACCCCTTCTCTAGGGGATGCACACAGTCCCCAGCCAGGTGAGGCCCCTCTCCCCTACTCCAGTGTGCACCCCTCAGGTTTTGCTGCAATATGTGGCATGTGAGCTCTGAGCTGCAACTCAATTTACACTTTTTTTTTTTTTTGCTGTTTCATTTCAGGAGACATGCTCACTTGGTGCATAAACAAACCTGAAGGTGACTACACCAGATGAAATATTAATAACAGCTCCTCCTTTCCATTTCCACCACACCTCTGGTGATTCTTTGCACCCATACAAACCTGGTAAGTGACTTTCTGAGCTGCAGAAGTTGCTGCCTCTTCTTCCTGGTCCCCTGTGTCCCTGCTGCAGCTCTGCAGCCCTGGCTGGTTGCTCCAGTGATTTTGGTGTCTGTGTGCTTCAGGCTCCCTGCAGCCTGCTGCTCACCACATGATGGATTCCTGAAACCTCTCTCTGCTCAGCCTTAGTTGCTCAGGTGATCAGGAACAATGTTCCTGATCCCAAAATGGACATTTGGCAAAGGTAATGCCCTTTCACAAGATCTTGCATTAGAGAGTGGGAATAAACAGATGCTCTCATGGGGAAACTTAAAGTCTTTGCTTAATCAAAAGGTGTGGTATGGCCAATTTAATATTAATAAAATTGTCTTTTTAAGCATAATTCAGAGAAAGCTTTGATACACAACTTGCTTTCTGTGTTTTATAAAAAGGCTGGAAAGTGCTTTTTTAGATTGTTCCTTTCCATTGTCTGAGTTGCAGCAAACATTGATGTGTTAGTCACAAGTGCCTTTGTTTGGATGTAAAAGCTTATTTGAAGTGGCATCAAGATTTCCTTTAAATGCCCTGGCCAACAAAAAGGAAAAAAACAACCCAGTTTATGAATGTGGCTTCTAAAATTCTGTACTCAGTGCCCTTTAATATTGCAATCCCATGTTCTTCAGATTCCTTCCAGATATATTGTCAGATTTAGAAGTGAGTAAAGGTGAACTTTATTGAATAAGTTCATTATAATGATATTTCATAGGTTTGGGCTCGCGATTAATGGATTGTAAATTTATACTTTAAGACTAGGAGAACATGATCATATAAATTGTCTTATTGAAGTTAACAGGGCTGTTCTTTGAAGAAAAATGCCACTCAGCAGAACACTTCAATGTATGCATAGCTCTAAGCATATGTTTGAGTTCAAATGAAGTCAATCTTTTGGTTTTAAGAGAGCTTGACTGTGCTTAGGTTCCTTAAAACATTTATATTAATATATAGGGTGGCTGCTGCAGTAGCCTTGGGGTGTCATTAATGATTTAAAAACAATAGTCCTTCTGAACACTCATGAACATTAGGTAAGAGAACTACTATTAGTTGGCAACGAGGTTAAAGCCTTAAAAACTCTGCCATCTGATATGTTGATTAAACTTTCATATGCATTTTGCAGATGCAAAGAGCATTTAACTGCACACTAGTTGCTGAAGACTGGTACCTACTTTCAAGTGTTGTAAATAAAAAGTTTCCAGAGTGCAGTTCAAGAATGGTAGTAAGGAAAGGATTTGCTATTGCTAATATTTCTGTCTACATATTCAGAAAAAAAATGTGGATTTGCTTTGAAAATAATTTTCCTTAGGTTATTTTGGAATATCCTTTCCCTCACAGGCTAATAGAACTTTGTGGAAGGATGGGAAGGAGCTCGCTGTGGTCATACTTCTCTGTAGTGACACAGCACTGTGTGATGAAGGAGCATTGCTGACACAGCAGCCACTTCAATGCATCTCCCTTACAGCAAAAACTGCTCTCTATAAGGGTAGTTTGAAGGCAGAAGTTCATTTATTATATTTCTGTAACAAAGACACCTGATGTCTTAATTAAGAAACCAATACAAAATGAACAGGAACATTCTACATTATTAAACAAGGGTATCGAGGTTGAATGTATTTTTTGCTCTATACACATAGGACACTGTATATACAAAGGAAACTTTTTAAGTAAGCCTTCCAAATCTGAATCTCAAGGTCCTTATCATAGGTAATCTATCAAGAAACACAAAACAAACAGCACTGTTAATCCCCTGCTTCTGAAGTGTATCTGCAGGTTACTTGGCAGCACAAAGCAATCACATGCTCCACAGAGCATCCTTTCCCTCGTTGAGAGAAAAATCAGCCCATAATTTTTTTTTCCCCTTTAAATTCCAAGTTAATTTTTACATGAGCCTCCAGGTGTTTCCATATCCCCAGCCACCCCTCTCTCCAAAAGTGAAGGAGAGCACCACTGGTGTCTGGTGTTCACACCTTAAATCAGCCCCAAACCCACTGATTTCCTTTGGCCAGGAGCTCCATTCCCATCAAAGAGGTGATTAAAAGGTTACAGCAAAGGCTACAGTCCCTTTGGCCTTTTACCTAAAGTGAGAATAAAGAAGGACAGAGCAGCAGTGGTGATGATTGATCAAGTCTAACCCCTTCATATTTGAGCAAACCTCCTGGTCATTTTACATGACTGAGATCAGCCATGGTTCTGCAAATGCCCAGGTACCCCCATCAAGCCCTGGAGAGGGAGAGCCTGTGAGCAGATAACCCCAGAACCCTTGGTGGCCATTTCTCACCTGCAGCACGAACTCTGCTCTACAGCACTTGGTTGCTGTTGTCTTGGAAAACACCATTCTCATTTGCACAAATGAGTTGATAATATGACTTCTTTTAAAGTTCTCTTCCACGTAAAAGCACAGAACTAGTACCTACTAGTTCATATCACCAGGTTTTCTGCTGGACACTAAGTGGTGCAATTCAGAAGAAATTCAATACTGCCTCTTTTTTAGAGCCAGGCACAGGTGCATTGAAAATAAAAAAAGCCTTTATTTGGCTGTGGGTATTGAGAACTAGTACAATGGGTAACTCTTGATTAAATTACAGATACACTGCACTGGGCAGTGCTTTAATATTTTTTTTTTCATATATTCCCCAAAGAGATGCATACTTTTATTTAAAAGCTCTAGAGAAATAAAAAAAAGAAGACAGTAGTAACATCACCAATAGGATGCAGAGAAATATCAGAGGACTCATTCAAACATTTTCAGGCTTTTGTACAGCAAAGCTATGAAGGGCACAGAAATGTTCAATATCAACATTGCTGTTCTGCTTCAGTGAATGGCCATAAATATGATATTTATAAAGTTTTGTATTTGTCACTCAAGGACCCAGTATAAAACCTTTTAAGTTCATGATTAGAAATATGTTCTGTTCCTTTTCCAAATTCCAGCCTGTACTCTGGAAGTCAAAATGCCTATTTTCTATCACAGGCATTGACAATAAAGATGAAGATTCAATGCCAAATTAGGGCCTAATCAATGCCTCAATACCTTCAGATTTTAGTGCACCTGCCCAAGACTAAAACTTATTTAACAGCTTTTAGGATGCTGATACAAAGGAGGCGGCTTACATTCTTCTCTTACCTCTGACTTGGCTCTCAGGAGCTGAGAAGAATCAAAACAATTTCTGACATAATACTCAGGAGGATAAGGTGAGTGGTGTCTGAAAAGGACATAGGGCACAGGAAAATGTGCTGTTCTTACAGGTTCCTTTCCAGCTGGAACCACAGTTTGGGTTGCAACGGGAACTCTTTTGTTCTCACACACAAAATTCTCTCTGAGATGGTGTGAGGGAGCTGTGAGCAAGTTATCCTCTGAATATTCATTGATTGCAGCTACACAAACATAACAGTAGCCCACCCACAGCTGACCAGTGAACAGAGCTGGCTGGAATTAATATTAAAATTCATTGTGCTATGCAAAAATTAGGCAAGTGTGATCAAGCAATGTGGTTTTTACATGCTTGCAGCTATCAAAGTTCAGAGCTGTTGTGGTCTAAATAATTTTCCAACAGAAAGATGTAGATATTTGTTTTGGAAGACCACCTCACTTAATATCTAGCACTTTACTTCTTAACAAATTATTTAAATAATATTTGGGAATCAACCTTTTTTTTAAATTTTAATTACAACTTACAGAAATAATATAAGGTTGGCCTGTGAGTAGTGTGATCATTCTTATCAATTTCTTTTGTTTTCAGCTCTTCCTTGAATTAAAAATAAAATTCTGGGGAGTGGAAATTTCTTCTTACAGTTGGTATTTGGAGCAGCATTTCTGTAGCTGTAGCTTAGCGTGGATGTTAAGGAATAACAGAAACTTTTTAAATTATAGAACTAATTATCTACACGCAGCTGATCAAACACTTTGCACTTCTAGCTGTGAGCACAGCTCACCACATCTGTTGGCCTCTCCCTGGGTGAGTCTGCACTGCAGTTGCTGCTGTGAATGTTATGGAGTGCAGACACACCAAAGGCAGCATTAAACTAACAAGCCTTGGATTTGTTACATGACAGCACAGAGCTTAGTGGTGGCTTTTTGCCTGGAGTCTTACCCAGCCACTTGCTGGGTGCTGGAGCCAACAGAGGGTTTGGGAGTGCCACAGAGCTGGGCAGCTGCAGCTGCTGCCAGCTGTAAAGGCTAATGCTGCTTCTCCTTCACAACCTCTTTCCTCCACTGTTTTTTGGGTGTTTGTTTGTTTTTTTTTTAAAGTTACTTCAGATAGCTCACTGGACCCACAGATTGCAATTAATGTTCTTGGAGGACAAAGGGATGACTGTGAATTGGCACAATATCAAAAAGGGGAATAGTCCAGGAAGAGTTGAGGTAGTTTATCCCTCCATGTAAAAGCTGAGTATCCTTGAGTGGTACAAAGAGAAAGAGGAAATTTGTTAAGACAGGCACAGTGTTCTCTTGAGTACATTGTATTGTGGCTGTTATTTAACATTGCAAATCTCCTTGTGTCACTTAGCTCATGAGGACTCCTGGAGCTGCAGGATAGAAGCACAATTAATGCACAACGTGCTCACCCTGGCCTGTCACACCAACAGACTGCATCAAGGAGTTGTCAGGCTGCAAGAAGAACCTTCCTGCAAACCCAGAGATTTCCACCTGCAGGGCTGGAAATATTCTCGTCCACGAGCCTTGGCACACACACCCTCCACCCTGTCCTGTGTGCAGGGCAGCCTTGTGCCACATGTCCAGATTTTCATATCCACAATCATAGAAAGCCACATGATGTTTTGTTTCATATTTATGTATAAGTGCTACAAAGCTTTCTGATGCTCCATATTCTCTTTGCAAGCAGAAAAGAAGAAGCAGTTGCATCCCTTTTCTTCAGACTTGTGCCATTTTTCCCCTTTCAGGATCAGCAATTGTCAGGCTGTTGTTTAACAATCCCTTGTGCTGGTGCTGTTTGTGGTGACTAAAACTCTTGCTTTCTCTAACAAAAGGCTTTTTATTGTTACTTTTTCCTCCACTGAATGAGATAATAAGGGCAAGCGATTTTTGATTTAACCTCCTGCTGCTAAATTTTCAAATTTTAAAGTGTTAACAAAAGAGAATGCATGTTTTCAGTGTTGAAAGCTCTGATTATACTATGGTAAAAATTTATAAAAATCAAAGGCAAGCAGACAATAGCAAGCTAGAGATATGTGACTCTCTTTAACTGCTGGTCTCCTGTAATAGAAATGGAACTTTGTCAAGAAAGCAAGCTGTAAAGAGAGACTGTTCTACCAAGTCTTAGACTGTATCCATTTTTGATAGATTTAGTTAACCTACAAGGGAACAACAGTATTGACATATATCACTTTGAAAAATGCCAGCTGAATGAGGTATTTTTGTTTCCTGGGTTACGTGCTGAAGCCATGTCATTTGTTCTGGTTTTTTTCAGTCCCTGCTAACACATTCTGTTCCTGTATTTTATGATTATATGTTCACTCTCTGAACTACCCCAAAGATATTGATTGCATTTTTTTGGAGAGTGACCAGTATTTCAGTCTATATGAAACTCTCATTTTTGTTCTTATTTATGTAATCTTTTGGACTCGAAATACAATTAGATGAGTAAAATTACTATTCTAACAATCCTTTAAACCTGGTAAATTATTCTTGGTAGGGAAACTTCTGGTTCCATAGTTTTCCTCAGCTGACATAACACACAAGAAAGATTTACTCCCAAAGGAGGAAACTAATGAAATTACTTAAATTTAGGTGTTATCCCAGTAGGTTTTTCCTAATAATTAATCACTGCCTGGTCCTGTGCCTTTCAAGTCTCCATCCTGGAAGGATAATGAATATTAAGGAAAGAAACCTTTTGGTTTTTTGAGTCTTCATTAAAACTAAGGATACAGCTGCCTGCTGAGGCACCTCACAAGGCAGATGCAGATCTGGGATTTTAAGATTCAGATCTGTTAATATTCAGAGCATGACCAGAACACCAAACCAATATGGTCAATGTCACCACTGCTGTTAGTCACAGCTTGTTTGGGGAGAAGAGTTTGGGTCAGGCTTGTCAACAACGTTTGATGCAAACAAAGCTTTTACAAGAGGATTGTTCTCTTTTCCTTTCATTCTCTTGTCTTCTATTTCCTGCATGTGTAGTGAGTGGACATCTGTGTGGGCAAACTGCTCTCTGTGGTGTCCTGCTGGCACCCCACCAAATCTGTGTGCTGGTAAGATTGCTGCTGCTGTGGCTCAGGACCCTGATTTGATCTCTCCCTGCTCCCTTCCTGGGAGAGCCATCCCTGGGGGTTCAGGAAGGGAGCTGATGTTTAGGAAGGGAGCTGATGGTGTTGATAGCAGCTCAGAGCAGCTCTGCTCCCAGGCTAGTGCCAGAAAACAGATGTGTGATATGCCCTAGCCTTGGCAGATGCACATGCCATATTCCATTAAAAGGGGTTATCCAACTTTCTGTCACATTGAGGGTGAGCAGCTCTTCTCTTTTGCATCAAAGCCTTAACAGGCAAAAAGAGTGAGCTCCTAGGGGAGGTGAGAACTCAAAGGAAAACTTCCCAGAGTGTGTCAGCACTGGATGATTGTCTATGTGAGAGGTTGCTGTGCCCACAGCCTCGGCTGCTCTAACTCTGGGATCACTCCAATGCACATCCAAGTCTGAACTAATTCACTCTGCTTTTCCTAAGCCACCTTTGGAGCCTGGCTAATGTGGTCATGGAGCATCTGGAATGGCTTGGCATGCATGAAGAGCAAGCTCCCCACAGAGCAAAGGCAGGGCTTGCAGGAATAAACCCTTGGTACCACTGAACTCCAGGAGGAGTGGCTCCAGGAGAACTCAGGAAGGAGCAGAAAGCTGCACAACAGCCTAAGAGCAGCTACACAGATAATTGATGTGCTGGTTGGATGTCAGGTTTGGGTGGGAGGCTCCAGCCTGGGCTTCAGGCACTGAACTGCTCCCGTGTTTTAAGCTCACACTTGGTTCTGGTGCCACCAGTGGTGTTGTGGAATTGTGTGGATGGACTGTTGGAGAGGCTCTTTCTGATATTCACAAGCAAAATTATTGCCATCCCACTAGCCACTTCTGGTCTTTATAGGAAAGCTGTTATGATCCATGTTTTATGGTTTTAGGGTATGAATTGTACAACCAAAGGGACTAACCCCACTTTGGTGAATGGCTGAAAATGTTTACTATAGGAAAAAAAATGAAATTATACTGAGAAACATTACTTTTATAAAACAATTTGTGCTGAGAAGATGAGTGTGCTATGAAAAGCACAGGATTTTGCTGGAAGTGTGCCAGAGCAGCACTGTCCCAAAGTGATTGATTTGACTTCACTACAAATTTGCTTAATTCAGATGAATGACTGGGCTTTGGGCCGGTTGGTATTTTAGGTGGAAATGATCCAAAATGGGAGTTGAGTGGAGAAGATTTGGGAAAAGTCTTCATAGATAAAGACTTAGACCCAAGCCAGCTCTCAGGAGTGGTTGTTTTTCTGCTCCAAGTTATTCAGAAACCCAAACTGCAGGAGGATTGCAGTGAATGGGTTTGATTTTGAGAGTCTACAGCACAATGTGAGACAATGGGCACATTAAAACCTACATTAAGGTGAATAATGAATAATGAAACTACATACAGATTGAATAATGCTGAATCAATACATGAATGGAAGTGTGTGACAGGGGTTGCTATGGCATCTCCCTTATTTAATAAAGGAATAAATAAAGGAATTGAAATCTCCATAAATGGTCTCAGCAGAAATTAGAGCTGCTCCTGGTGACTCTGATATATACAGTAGTATTTTTTGAAAATAAATTATCTTCCTCCATAAACAAGAATAGGTTTTTTGGATCGTCTTTAAAATTATTTTCAAATTTGTCTAAATTTATGCCAATTCCAGTTGAACTGTCCCTGAAGCTTCACTTGGGGAGTAGGGAAGTTATGAGCAGAGAGCTGTAAAAGTGTTTTGTTCAAATTTCTGGTTTGAGCTGGACATGTGAGAGGACAAGCAAAATAGAGCCCAAAATGCAGTTCCTTGGAGAATGTGGCACCTAAGCCTGAAAGAACTTGAGCCCCGAATTTTATGACTTGACTTAACAAAGAAGGGATAGTAACAAGATTTACTCAATGCCCCTGAGCTGGAAAATCCCCATTTACATCCCAGATGGAGATGCCAGACCACATCCTCATATGTAAAATCAGGGTGTCCATGGAATTAATTGAATTACACAATTTGGGTGTGGAAGGATGAAAGGGCAAGAGAGTTATATAAAACAGATAATTAATCTATGAAGCTGTGATCTGGTTTTACTCATCAAACATTGATTTTCCCATTTAGCCTTACCAGGATGTGATGATATCACACACACATTGAAAGAGTTTTGTCTGATCTGAGCTTTCAAGGCGTGGTATTAATTACATGTCATCAATTATGGGTTGTAGTTCTTCATCTTGAACAGGACAGTGCTGAAGCTGCACATCACATCTTGTAGGTGTTCAGATGTGTAATTATTGGCAACAGATATTTATATTTTCTCAGTAGCATCTCTTATTAATAAAATCTCAATTATTCTAGCAAACACTTCCCTCAAATGAACAGGAAAAGGGCATATCATGGCAAAAGAAAATATAAAGACAATTTGGATGAAGTTTCTTAAAATTAAAATGTTTTTTTTTCTTCAATTTAAAGGTTGAGTGGAGGTTTCTCTGTGCTTGAGCATTTGTTACCCCTTAAATGTAACACACCCACCACATCTCCTACTGTTCCTGGAGAGTGTATCAACCTCTAAATGAATAATTTAAAGCTAAGTTAACTTTCCTGAGAAGGAGTTTACTGAATAGATGTAACTGGTGCCCGCTAGTTATCACATTCCAGGGTACTTGATGAATAAATTATCTTTTTTCCCCCCAGCATGAAACAGTCCTAATTTTTGGAAATACATTTGCTCAAAATATCCAAAAAAAGTCAAATATATTTTTATGCGTGAAGAGCCTTCACTCACTTGAGTCACAGGCATCTATTCCCACAACAAAATGTAAAAACCAAATGACAAATGATTAATGTTTTTCTTAGGAGAAAATATCATTGTTTGCTTGCAGAATCAGGCACTTTCATGTGCTTGATTTAAAGCTTATCAGCCACACAAAGGTCATGCACCTTGTGTAGGTCAGGCAGATGAAGAACCCATCTTTTCCCACATTTTTGTGAAAAGAGAAAACAGCTCATGGGGATATTTGAAAGTAGCCAAAAAATTTCATTCAAAGGGGTCCTTATCTCTTGCTGTTTATCTGAGTTGCAGCTGGAGAAAATGGAGCAGAATTATAAGGAAACCTTTCACCCTTGTGGGTCTGTGCAGCCTCCCTGTTATGAAAGGGATGCACTTCCAGTTACTTACAGTCAGTGAACTGCTGGAGTTAATCAAAAGTATAAATAATTTGCAACAAGAGGATGAATGGGGCTGGGAAAATTATTTGTCCATGTATTGATTGCAAGTGTATTTTTCAAGTTCCCCATGATCTGATTTTTTTTCCATGGGTGGCAAAACAAATTGGGCCAGATCATTAACTGCAAACTCAGCACCATTTGAACTGAATTCAGAACTGCTGGACAGTTTGCCTTTCTGTAAGTCTGCTCTGTAAATCAGCAAACAAAATCTGGCAGCTGAATATTTTATTCTCAATAATAAACTATACTTGGGAATGCATGTGCTCTCTCCTGTGGATTTGCACAGATACACTTTTCTTTGGCATTATGTCCCTTTTCTGCCAAACTGTATTTTGAAATTTAATGAGAGGCTAAAGGATGTTTATTGAGTTATTAATTGCTTTTCACTTATCCATTAGGCTGTAATTTCATCTTTTTACAAGAAGATATTCAAACACCTTATGACCAAAAATACCCAGTAGGAAAAGTTGTATCCACCCTGATTCGCAATGGAATTTTCCATGTGCCTCGGGTATGG